GTTTGAGTAACCTACAAATCACTCGGTTTATCCAAGGGGGGCGGCAATGTTTCCGACCCTTTGGGACAGACCAAGGGATGAAAGGTCCAGTTACTTGGGCGTAAAGTTGTTTAAATTAGTTCCATATGGCTTCTGCTTGTGACTCTGGGTTGATGTACCAGTTCACTGAGTTGGCTGCCGATCGAATTAGTTGGGATATTTACTTAAAAACAAAATACCCGCCGGTCGAATATCAAAAGTAGAGAAATTATTTTAGAAGAATCAAAATTTAGTTGAATTTACATCAGTCTAACACTCAACATATTTCTTGACCAAAAGGCAGTCTGTTTCCGTAAAAAGAGCCTTTAGAAAGTAATTTATTCTGACCGGGGCACTCTCCTTAAACTCGTTTAGCTGTATAAAAGTTTATACAAAGTTGTTGTGTAAATTAACGGTAGTTAGTGGCGTCCATTAGTGATATTCACTGTTACTATTTTTATTCTCGTAGATGTATTTACGGAAGTGGCTTTATCATTTAATTTAGCCATATTATTATATTATTGTTTCCTTTAATTCCTAGAGGAACATAGGGCTTCAGCCGTGCGTCTCCATTGCGTTCGGTTCTCTGCTAGAGTTTTCACCTGGCTCCAAGTCTGCCCACACGTTTTCATCTCCTCTTCACATGACCTCCTCCAAGTCACCCTTGCACTGACGACCAACTCGCCGCTTCCCTTTCGGGTTCCACTTGAGCGATGGCTTGTCTAGTGATGTCACTTGATGGTTTCCTCAGAGTATGGCCAATCCATCTCCATTTCTTCCTGCCTATTTGTTTCACAGTCGGTTCCTGGTTGGTTCGCTCCCAGAGATCTCTGTTGCTGATCTTTTCTGGCCATCTGATCTTGAATATTGAGCGAAGACAACTGTTAATGAAGGTCTGTAGTTTGTTTGAGGTGCTTTTTATGACACGCTGGACAAGTCTCTGATCCGTATAGTAGCACTGACTTCACATTGGAGTTGAAAATCCGGATGTTACTTTTCATGCTGAGTGCTGTTGACCTCCACACAGACTTGAGAGTAGTGAAAGCTTGTCTTGCTTTCCCGATCCTCGCTTTGATATCCTCGTCAGTTCCGTGCTCCTGTAGTTGAAACGATGCTTCCAAGGTAGGTAGGTAAAGGAGGTTGTTTCTTTCAGGTTCCTTCCATTTATGCTGATTGTTGTCAGTTGTTGTTGTTGCTGTTGGTGGTGTTGCCCAGGAATTTTCATCACCTCTGTTTTATCTATGTTCACCTGAAGTCCCTCCTATCTTTGATGCTTCTTCTGCCAACTTGTTGCTTTTCGCTTGCATATCTTCCAGTTTGTGGGAAATCAGACATATATCATCGGCGAAGTCCAGATCCTCCAAGTTTTTGTGTGAGTCCATTTTATGCCTGTTTCCTCATTGCCCGCTGTTTGTCGCATTATCCAATCTACTGCAATCAGGAAAATCATTGGCGATAGTAGGCAGCCAGCTTTTCTTACTCCTGTCCTCACTTCGAAGGATTCCGTAAGTTTCCCGTTGTGGATTACTTGTCATGCAGCATTGTCGTACAGCTGTTGGATGAGATGTATAATTGTCGGTGGCACCCCGTAGTAGCGAAGTAGTTTCCAAATCACCTCTCGATCGACGCTGTCGAAGGCCTTTTCAAAGTCGATGAAGTTGAGATAGAGAGGTGACTGCCATTCCAAGCTTTGTTCAACTATGATCCGTAATGTGGCAATTTGATCAATACATGACTTGTTTCTCCTGAATCCAGCCTGTTCCGGTCGAAGTTTTTCATCCAGCCATATGGAGAATAGAATTACCAACACCAAAAGTGGCTAGTTGGTTTTTTGTGTTAAGATGATATAGCTCTAATAAAATGCATATCTTTCCACTAACATAAAAGAAAGTTTGAACATATTTAGCGTACTTTTAAGCCCTGTTAAGTACATTGTAATGCTTCACTAACTCCTGTGTCAATCAAAAGGAATGAAGGTACAAAGTTGTTTGTGAGTTAAGGTATCTGGAAACTTGTATCAACCTAAGTGGACTGGTTAGCAATGAAATCCATACACAAGTATGCACAGTGCAATTGTTCAGCATTTAGTAACTGGCTGCTGGACAACAGTTGTCTCACTTCTACTTTATTACTTACTGTGAAACATCGCCAATGAAAGCACGAGATAGGGAAATGTGACCAGTTTTCGACTATTTGTCACTTCATTCACATGGCTAATACTAATGACATTTAGGGACAGTATGAATAGTAAGGAAAGAAAACGAACCACTTTGCGTAATCAATCATGACTGTATGTGTCAGTTGAGACAAGCGAATAGTTTTGTAAAAAAACAGTTTTCACTGAAGATGTTGTTGGTGGGAAGTGTCAGGACGGAGGTACCATAAACAGAAAGTACTTAGACTTAAAAAGTACCTTTCAAGGGTCCCTCAATTTAAAATCTGCCAAAAGAGGGGGTGTTAGGACGGACTGACTATCACTTTTAGCCGTAAAATCATAACTGATACAATCAGTTAGATATTGGTTATTTGTGGTTTAAATTTCTTTCAATGCATAAATGATATTTACTCTGTATTGTGAATAATAATAATACCACATAGTCCAAACTGGCCACAAATCCAGCATTGACGAATCCTTCTCTATCATCTATTGGATACCAAATAAATTGCCAAAACCATCCAGGTACCACATACTCCAAACAGCTCAGGCTATCACTATTTGCCTGAAACAACCAGTGCTCTGTGTGCAAAAGAAGCAAGTCCAGCCACTTCTACTGCCCTGGCTGACCTTCAGTGGAGACTATGAATTCATCAATTTGTATTATTATCTTTCCTAATTTTTCTGACATTCAGTGTGTTATTATGTTGATGCTATTGAACTGTAATCCACTGATATTATCATTATTGATTCGATGTTAGTGAAACAACATTAATGTTGTTCATAACACTAATTCATTCATTCACTCACTATTATGGATGGATATATAACTGTAGAACCTAAAGAAGAGAAAGTTATTGGGGAGAATGTTCCTTGTTCATTGAGTGATCATTCTTTTGAATAATAAAGTTATTGTTGTCACAGTTGTCTCAGTTAAATCTGACTTCTGTGTGTCTACTTAGTGTGGGAGAATATTTCCTAATGGTCACTTGGACACAGTGTCGTAACTGAAGGCTCATTCTAGTCACCATAGACAGCAACAATAAAAACAAAAACACTAAATACTCTGTTACGGCAGGAAGCTAGAAATGTTCAAATCAAAACATGCGAGTTGTAAATGATACGTTTTGATCAACTATGTGGGCTATACAGGGTGGTTTAGATTCCCCTTTTTGAGTGTTTACGATACCAAAAGCTAATATTCGAAGTTCCCCGGTGAAATACCTCGAAAACATTCTCGATATCGTAAGTGTGCTTATTCATAACCATGACCTCATTATTTTTTCCACTGCTAGAGTCCTAAATGTAAGGGCCTCAAGTTTTGAAGGAGAAAGGGTTTTAAAGTTTTGAACCCGGACCATCGGAGCCACCTGTATTATATTCTTTATAAAATTTATGGGGAATGTTTTGCAACTAGTTTCTTTTTCTTGACTAGTTAGTGGATTTCATAATAATAATAATAATAATTTTCGCTTTATTCCAAAAACAGTACTAATGATACAGCAAGGAATTTTCAGCATTCAGTACAATATTGCATCTAATTTACTCAAAACGACAAAAAAATAAACATTACATAATAATAATAACAAAACGTTTTTATAGCAGCTATGTAGCAATTACAGTATGCGATAAGGAGAAAAACTTGCATAAAGTATAAAATTGTAGCAATAATAGTAATAACAACTAAAATAAAATAGCCAAGTTATAATTAAACGATAGAAAGGGTGATACCATAAAATTACAGAAAGATGAACAATGAAAGGGTCGATTCACTTTGCTAATTACATAGTAACTTATATGTTTCACGTCTAATAGTGTCTCCATCACATAAAATACAGGCTAAATAGGGTATTGTAGAAATTTTGTACTTAGTGGTGCGAGCATATAACTTTTTATATTGACTTCTCGTCCTATCTGATGAGATACAAGGGGATAGTTGTGAATAAAGGGGGTGCAGAGGGTCTGACAGTACGGCCTTTGCCCATTTTGTACAGGATTTTATATGCCTCTCGACTATAATATTGGCGAGCTCACGCAGTGGCATACCACAAGCCCTACTCACAGCATTTAATACCCTTCGTAATATGATATAGTCCTTTTTGAGAAGCCCAGGAAAGATTAATGGAGAGCAATAGAATACAATAGGTATAATACAGGAGTTTACAAACTGCAGAAGTAAAGGTTGGTTGATACCTGATTGTCTTAACTTTTTAATGTAGAAGGTAAGACGAAACATTTTCTTAGAGATCAATAAGATGTAGGATGACCATGAAAGGTCAGAGGAAAGAACTAATCCAAGGTATTTAATGCTTGACTTGGTTTCACTTTCAGTGCCATCTATGCTACAGGCATCATGGGAATTAACTAGTTCATGTATGTCACGTCGATGCTTGAAAGTGAAGTTAACTGACTGACATTTGGAAGGATTTAACATTAGACCATTTGACTGACTTAGACCACTTGCTGATGCCCAACAGGAAGCTATTAAGTTTGGAGCAGTCAGACTCGGAAGTGATAGGCAGTGATACAGTCAGATCATCAGTGTATTTGACAAAGTTAGTTTCGTTTAAATGAGGCAGGTCGTGTAGGAAGAAAGAAAAAAGAGAAGGAGAGAGGACGGCACCTTGAGGAACACCGGTTTTTGTAAGCGGTAGCACAATGGTTAGGACTCTCGCCGATCATGCATATGGTCTGGGGTTCGATCCGCTGCCGACGCACGCCTCCTATCAATGGTTGGCCTGCAAAATTTGGGCTGCCGATATCACATGCTGAAAATTCCATACTTCTACCAAAAGTACTGTGTGGAATCAAGCTGTTATCAAAAAAAGAAGATTGCCATTATATACAGTATACTGCATTCTATCAGAAAAATAAGAATGCAACCAACGCTTAGCCCAGAAGGTCACTACTGTCCTCCTCCTTCTAAAAATATAAAATATGTTTTGTATTCATAGAATTTAAATATCACTTTCTTATTTTCCAGTTTGTGAAAATTAAAAGTCACCCCAACTTCTTTTGATAACCTCTGTAGATTACAAATAAAAAAGCAAAACAACGGTTAACCCATGAAAAATCCAAAGACAAAGCATAAAAAGGCTCATTCTACAACGGATGATTTCCAGTTTCCAGTAGATCGGATATTTTCAATAATGTCTGTAGATGTAGCTAAAGAATTCATGAAACATTTAAACAACAACAATAATGATAATGATGATCAGCTTAAATTAGAAATGCAAAAACTACTCGAAACCTCCGACTTAATATTACAACGACCAAATTTAACCTTCAAATCATTAATGAACACTGATTTATTTAAACAACACCAACTAAAAGAATCTATGCAGTTGATCAATCAAAATCCAAAAGCACTGGAACCAGAAACTTCTCTATGGGATTCTGCTTTAATTGACTATTTTCTCGGATGTATAAAATGGTCAACAAGTAAATGGATTGAAGAATTTTATAAAAAGAAATCAAATCACATTGAGCATAGAATGCGTGTTTCAATGTTTCAATGCCTAGTAAATATTGATGATTCTAGTGAAGTAGACATTGAAAAGTTGATGTGTATTAGTATTAGCTTTTCTACAGCTTATGCATTATTACGCCACTTACAATTATGGCAGTTAGCAAATGAAAGTCTAGTTAAACGTCAAATAGACTTGAGCACAAAAGATGAACAAATAGACAAAACTTGTTTAACTGCATCAATTCACTTTTTAAAGTCAATGTTCCAGTCATTGTCTACATATACGTCAAGGGAAATAGACAGCCATACTGAGGATATTGATCAAAGTAATTTAGTTGATTTTCAAAAGAAATTCTATGGTTATTTATCTATTCTTGACATAACAGCTGGTCAACTACTGATTGAATACTTTTCAAAGCATTTTTTAAATAAACACAATTTATTGGAGAGAGTTTTTGGACCATTCACAGCATGTAATCAAAAATTGGTAAGTTAAACGGAAGAGTGCGATTCATAAAGGAGTTTTGGTGTGGCATCTGTCTCTGTCTGTCTGGATTCAACATAGAACTTGGCACCGAAGTGCAGCAGTTCGAGTTGCCACTTTCCAAATAACACACAAAGATAGACAAGAAAATGAGAGAAGAGAATCAATAGAATTTAGATAAGTATAAGAGTGAAACAGAATTAGTAATGGTAGAAAGGAATATCAAAGATTACAGAGACTGAATACATCTGCGTAAGCCATTGACAACGATTTTGAGCCATGTTACCTATTGTCTCCACCTATTGATTGATTCTTAGAGTCCCGAGGGCCCCAACCCGGAAGTCTGTATCTCCCTACCTGACTCAGTTTAACTAACAAGGATTTCATGGATTGATGAGGCCATGTTTTTATTTGGCCACCACTTACTCTTTTCCAACCTGCACCTATATCAGCTAGTAATGCCCGTCCGTCGGGGGAGGCGATGGTTAGGCATGCGCAGCACGTGACCTAGCCGTCTCAATCTATGTAACTTTATAGCCTCATCGATTGATTTTCCCTCCTTGCTCAACACTCTACGCCTAACGTCAACATTACTTGACTTATTTATTTTATTTTATTATTTTATTTTGGTTACAGCTTGATTCCACACCGTATTTTCAGTACAAGTATGGATCGAACCTCGGACCATGTGCATGGTCGGCGAGAGTCCTAACCACTGTGCCACCGACACACACAGGACATTTATACCACCTAACGTGAGAAAGAGATCGTAGACATCTATGATCAAAAACAGTCAACCTTTTCATGTCTTCAACTCGTATTGGCCATGTTTCAGAGTCATAGAGAAGGATGGAGCGAACTGCTTAGCAGTACACACGTCCCTTGGTTCATAGCCGGATGTCACGCCTACGCCAGAGATGGCGTAAGTGAGCGAAAGCAGCTCGAGCTTTTTGGATTCGTGCTGAGATTTCGTCGCCAATCAGTCCGTTGGTGTGGCATACTTAGAATTTTTGTTTCACAAAGTTAAGGAATAAAGTTTTTTATGCTTTTCCACCTCATTGTCACCATAGCTGTATAATTTAACTTTTCGATGATGATGAAAGAAAACAGAAAGACAAATTCAGTGAAGAAAATTTTCTTCATCGAAGAAATCATCTTTAGAGGCTGTAAAGTCAAATCGATATTTGTCAAAAATGTATAGTAGTCTATTACAGAGTAATAGGGGTGATATAAATGACATAAATACCTAGAAAAGGCTTCCAAAGTAAAAATGAATGTGATAAATGTTAACTCCAACTGTATACACATATTTACATGTACTTGCGGGAGCAGTTACATTGGAAGAACAGAGAGAAGGGCATATCTACGATTTTCTGAACATGTACCAAAAAGCCTATGTCTAAAGGGAACAAATGCTTTAAACAGTGCCATCGCCAGGCATCTCCTTGACACGGGTCATGAGCTAGACGTAGCAAGATCGTTCAGAATTATCAATAGGCAAAAGAGCTCAATTCTCCTTAAGTTTGCTGAAGCAATTTCCATCGAGTGCTTGAAACCAGATTTATGCGTTCATGAAGAAGAAGTTATCAGTCTTTTCCGCCTTGATAACTGGATATTTGTACGTCGGTGGCACAGTGGTTAGGACTCTCACCGACCATGCACATGGTCCGGGGTTCTATCCCTTGCCGACGCACACCTGATATCTACGGTCGACCTGCAAAATTTGGGTTACCGATATCGCATGCTGAAAATTCCATACCTGTACCAAAAAATACGGTGTGGAATCAAGCTGTAATCAAACATCAAACAAACAAACATATTTTCACCCTTTCTTTCATCTGATTACGTAATGTCAAAAATTCCCATGGTGTATGACCATTATTGTTCAGAATAAAGTGTGTTATATGTATATATATATTGTTGTATGAATATATTGATGATTTTTGTTTAAAAATGAACTCTGTGCAATTGTTGATATAAGTATAAAACTTGGGCACTGTGGTGGTAGAGTATAATTCCATTATAGATAAGATTTCATTTTGATAAATCACACAATGTAATGTTATACAGCAATATTAACTGGTGATTTGTCAAAATAAAATGTTATCTATAATGGAATTCTATGCAAGTAAGTTAAAATTGTTTCTGTAGATGTATTTAATAATAACTTTGGCTTGCAAGCAGCTGATGAGAAGCCAACGAAATAAATAATGGTACTATTTTATTCTGCAAAAATCCCTGTTGCTCTTGCTTAATTCAAATTACGTAATACTCAATGGTACAAAGGAAGAAAGGGTTAGAAATTTGATAAGGTTAAAATTGTTCCTGAGTGAGAATAAAGGTTGTTGAGTGTGCATTTGACAAGTGTTAAGAGGGTGAAAAAACTTATAAAAGGAACATGTGAGAGTGACAATAGTGAATAAATTATTAAAGTAAAAGGAGAGAAATCATTAAAAATAAAAATGTACAGGGAACGAGTGATGAAGAAGTTAAGACCATAGTAGAATAAGAGACTGGATAAACTTTCTCTGTATACAGAGTTCAGGGTTGTATTGAAAAATGGCCAACGCCTCCGCCATACACAAATGCCGAAACCTAAGGGCCTTTGTACCATTTGGCCTCACCTTGTATATAATCTTGAAAGACGACTCTGGTGGAGCTGAGTGACTTGAGTTCACCAAGTGCTTAAGAATTGAGCTAGTAATTCTCTTGCATTGTCCTTTTGCTGCTAACCATGCCGGTTAATGTTCAGAGATGAGTTTGGAAAGTGTGCACTTTGTGCGTGTTTCTGATCACTCAATAAACTATTTTAACCTTATCAAATTTCCTTTGTGACGCTGGGTATTACGTAACTTATAAATTTTAATTTTACCTTGATATGATTATGAGCAGTAATAAATTGTGCTCTAAACGTCGTCATCAGTAAATATTATCGTATAACACTGTGAGACTTTTTCAAAATAAATTGGCTTCATAATGCAGTTATACTGAACCACAGTGGCCAAGTTTTATTCTCATATCAACACTTTAATTGGTGGTTGGTGACTAGCAGTGGAATCCAGGATGCGTATTTCGTACTATGTGGGACTCGTCATCTGGATGTACCTGCATTTCTTAGTGAGTGATGATGTTCCCACAGGGGCTCGAACCCAGTGCCCATAGTTTCAAACACCAAAGCGTTATCCACTAGACCACTTGGGCCAAGACCGGAAAATCTAAAATTCAATCAAATCAACACTGTTACTGAAATCTCAAAGCTCAAGCTTGAAGCAGTAGTTTCCACTTGGAACTTACAGGAATAAAATGTAACTTCCTCTAAGCACTTAACTAAAGGTCACAGAAGACCAAGTACATGTTCTATCTGGTTGCCTTTGTTCTATCAATTCAAGTAGGTAGAAACGAAAGGGCGGTAAGTTTGTTTTGTCAAAACTTACATACCCACTCTGCAGTTTAATACAATAGTTGTTTCACAGATTAACAAACTGTTGAGTTAGTGAGATCTAGTGCTATAATCATTAGTTTTCCACTTTTAATTTTTACCTATGCATAGTGCATCCCAGCACAACTATCGATTTAGCAATGCAGTTATTGTTAAATTCGCAGAAAAATCGATACAAACAATTATCTAGTTTCAGTTTGCAAGGATTTGATTGGCTACAGGATTAGTCATGAGGTGACATCAGTTAGAGAACCGTTGGAAAACCTGGGAGTACTGGCTACCTCTTTCGTCCTAGCTCAGGATTCTTCGGTAGTATGCACCTACCTAGGTCTGAACTCAGTACCTTCTTGTCACAAGGCCATTGAGGCCGTAGACCATCTAACCACTGGGATCCGATCCAATGGTTCGCGAACTCTAGCTTCCTCTAATTCATGATATATCTAGAACAACCTCCAGCCAGTGTCGTAGGCGAGCAACTTTCCTTTTACCTGACTTTGTGAACCCCACTATTTAAGAGTCCTCGCAGTTACTCGCCTATGGCACTAGCTGGCGGTGGCGTTAAACGTGTCATGAAATGGAGGAAATTGTATCCTGGTTGGTACTTACAGTGAAGAGTCTCGAGCTAGGACGAAACAGCTGTTCAGTACTCCATTCTGGTTTCCTGTGGTTTTCTAACTCATGTCAGCTCATGATCAGTCCTGTAAACAGTTATCTAGTGGCAGACTTACTATTTGAAATCTATTCAAAATGATGTTCAATGTGAATGTTTATCTCTTTCTTATCCCTCTAATCATTTCCCTATTTACAGATAAAAATCCCCTGTCCACTTCATATTGAAACTTTATTGGAAAGATATGAAACTACGAATTCTACCTGGCCAGCTCCATTATCTGAAGCTGTCCCGCTAACATTCATTTCAAAATACCCACAGTTATTTGCGGATAAAGTGACCAAATGGTTAAAATTTATTGAACCCATTGAAAGTAGACAAGGATCAGTTGTAAAAGATACAGAAGAAGAAAATGAACAGCCAGAGGAAATCCAACAACAACAACAAGAAGAAGACGAGGCAGAAAATCTAGCACAAATCAGTAAGGCGAATGAGTCTTTGGAGAGCGAAGATTCAATATTCTATGAAAAATATCTCACGTCAATTGATTCACTGGATTCTGATGAGTTGAATGCAATTGTTCAAGTGTCACGCAGTGAACTGGATGAAATTGTCAAAAAGTTATTCAACGATGTATCGCTTAGTGATCAACAACTATTGGATAAAATGAAGGATAGACAAATTGAATTAGGTCATAGAATAATAGAGAGAGCAAAGCTTAGAATTACTAGTGAGAAGAATGGTCAAGTGAATTAACTGACTACTCATGTGTACTTTATGATTAGTGAGTGTGTGGTGTGGTGAGGCGAGGTGAAAACTAACCCCGTTGTTTGTTTGTTTGCTTGCTATTCAATCATGTACAGAATAAACCGCTTTCTTTTTTACCAATGACAATAGTGTACATAATCGAACTTCAGTTTTCATTATATTTGTTAATGTTGTGAAATTGTAACAGCAGAGAAGGCAAGACACTAAAGCAAAGGTTTATATTTTCAAGTGATCAAACCGCTATTTTCAAGTATTGGTTTTGTAGGGATTCTGTTTGATTGCATGGAGGATTTCATCATGAGCTGATATCAGTTAGAGAACCACTGGAAAACCTGCAGGGAGTACTGGACAGCTATTTCGTCCTAGTTTGGGACTCTTCATCAGTACGCATCCACCGGGATTCAAACCCAGGACCTTCTGGTTACAAGGCGAGCTTGTAGACCGTTGATCCACTGGGACCCGATCCGATGGCCAGCCCATGAATTCTAACTTCTGTCAATTCACGACATAACGCGACCATTTCGCGACGTCTTCTATTTGTATCTATTATATTATTATTGTTCACTTGGGTTCCCAGTGAAACATAGGGCTTCAACAACACATCTCCACCCTGTCCTATTTCCTGCGATCCTCTTCAGCTGGGTCCACGATCGCCCAAGCTGTCTCATCTCTTCCTCACACAATCTCCTCCATATCACCCTAGAACGATCCACTCGTCTATGCAGTTTATATCCTTTAACCAATCACTGAACGTGTGATTTTTGGCGTACATTAAACGACATGAAACAGAATGTTCAAATATACATAGTATTCCGTTGCTAACGCAGTATTGAAATGTGGGAATATGTGAGAATAATATGGCGCTGAAGATGTTGTCCGGAAGGACGACGAAAGCTTCGCGACTAAACCAACCAGCTCAGAGAACACTTTTAATTGCAAATCATCCACCTGAGCTACAATTCTTCTCTATTATTTCAGAATAATATTCCGTTGGAACACATTGTCTGTATTACACCACCACAAAATGTGTAGGCTTTGAAGAGGTATGATATGTTCCTGTTAGATGGTTGGAGGCAATCAACAGGAAGCGTTGAACCTGGGTTTCGTGGTTGTTGGCACTCATTAGCATGAGAATTCATATCCCTTCTGAAATTCGAACTGGGGTCACACACTGCAGAGTGCATTGTGATGGTGAGACAGCCAGCATGATAGTCACATCGCCAGCTTGACTGATGGAATTAAGTCCGTACCGGACAAAGAACTAAATTATTATAATATATTATTGTTTCCTTTAATTCCTAGAGAAACATAGGGCTTCAACAGCACGACCCTATTGCGTTCGGTTCTCTGCCAACGTTTTCACCTGGCTCCGCGTCTGCCCACATGCTTTCATCTCCTATTCACATCACCTCCTCCGTGTCAACCTAAAACTAACTCGCCGCTTCTCATTCGGGTTCCACTCAAGAGCGATGGCCTGGCGTTTGATGTCACTCATTAGATGGTTTGTTTTCTCAGAGTATGGCCAACCCACCTACATTTCTTCCCGAAGATTTGCTGCACAAATGGTTTCTGTTGGGTTGCTGCGCTCATTGCCAGAGGTCCCTCCCTGTTGCTGATCTTTTCTGGCCGACCATCTGATCTAGAGCGAAATACTGAGCGAAGACAGCTGTTGATGAATTGGAGCTGTCAACGCCAACAACATCACCAGTACTGAAACACCAAAGAAATGAAAAAAATGTTGTGTTTGGTCCACATTGTTCAATGAATTTTGTCAGTTGAACCTGCGGCGCATTCACAAAGCTAACTGACTTGCAATCCCAGTGCTCTTCTAAATGAGGTAGGAAGATTAGACACAACTGAGTAGGAAGCCCCGATCCTGGGTTTTGTGCTTATTAGCGATCATCAGCAAACTGAAGCTTAGTTATGTCGTAAATGTGTAAATGCATGGAACTATATACTACTGACTAATTGACTGTGAGTAGTTGTATACCACTCACCTTACCCAGTGATAATTTCTAGCTGGAACCGAGTGATCTGAACACTGGAGGCTGATACACATTCTAGCAAAATACTGACACAAAATAAATCAGTTATAGAATAACAATGGAATAAATGAATGAGAGTAATGGAGTAAAAAGAACAATACAAGTTGTGAGCATTTTAAGTATTTCAACGGGGGGGGGGGGGAGTGGTGGTGTTCAAATGCTTAACAACATCACTTCGTGTCTGGTTTATATTACCTGCTAGAGTCTTCAGAGTTCAAAAAAACTGGTGATCAGAAGTTAAGTGACTTTGTGTATGTGTAGAACATTGGTTCAGTGAAGGAATGCATGCCGACCATGCATATGATTCGAGTTTTGATTTCCTGCCGATGCCCTTCCAAGTCTTGCCTAGTCTATAGTAAGTCGGAGGAATAAGGAACGTTGGAATTGGGGCTAGCAACTCCACCACGTAAAGACAACAACATCACCAGTACTGAAACACCAAAGAAATGAAAAAAATGTTGTGTTCGGTCCACATTGTTCACTGAATCTTATCAGTTGAACCTCCAATGTGCTTACCAAGCCAACTGACTTGCGATCACAGTGCTCTTCTAAATAAGAGGTAAGAAGATTAGACGCAATTGAGTAGGAAGCTCCGATCCTGGGTTTCGTGCTTATTAGCACTTAACAGCAAACTTAAGCTTAATTATGTCGTCTTTGATTGTAGTACAAGGTGACGCAAATTCGAATCTCAGAGGCATATCAGTTCTCTCACGATTAAAGATGTATCCATTTGACAAGTGCCAATGAACATGAAATATAGGTCGAAGGCCTGTTGAATACTGCCAGTATTTCCAGTATTTATTGGCTCAATTATCAATAGCTTTCCCTACACCTCACTGCAATTCAATCAATATCAACTATTGGGATAAAGGCTGACTGTTGATGCCTGATTCGCCTAACTGAATTAACAGTGTAGAAATTGGCACAAAGAGTGGGAAAATCTACGTGCTATCAGAAACAACTTTTAACCATGTCACCAGTCATCTCTAGCCACTAGTTCTTAGCATTTCAAGAATCTCAAACAAGCATTCTACACACTTTGCTCTAAATGGCTAGGAATAACAGTCAATGACTTCATGGATTGATTGGCCTGACTTTTCGGTTTGACCAATACTAACCCTTTTTCATCTGTCATTGGTCATGGGAGAAGGTGGTGGGAGAGGTATCTATAACACGTGCCGCAAACATCTTAATCAGTGGAGCATGACTACTTTATCAAGTAAGCTTTTCTTCCCTGATGGCTGATCCCAGCATTAATTACCTTTAACAGAAACGCTTAATCGGTTCATCTCTTTTGTTATCTCAGGATGTCTCTTACAGATACAAAGCAAAATAGAGGTCGACTGTTGAGCAATACTCTCATATTTTGACAGAGTGCCGAATGCCTCACCTCGGTAAGAGATAAAATTGAGTGACGGTGAATTAACCTACGGTTTAGCAGTGGTGCGTATCAGTTCAAGTTTTCCCACTTCGAAAAAGTAGACATAACATGGAGTTTTCAAACGTAATTTCATTGAAATTGGTAAATACCATTGCGAGGAGAAGATGTATTAAGTAAGCAAGTATTCCCTGAAGAATTACAAAATTCAGAGGGTAGCAAGAAGTAAAAGCACCTGCTGCTCTTCTGTGAATTACGGTGAGCCATGTGAATCTGCTCCGCAAGCCACTGACTCTTAGCGATTTGAGAGACCCAACTAGATCATACTGTTTGTGTGTGTGTGTGAGAACAGGATTTCTCACGAGACTCCTGCATCAGATATTTGAGCCTAATGCAGACTGAAGGTGATGTCAATGGATTTTTGTGGAGGACATAGATTTCTTGCAGCCTGACCTAGTGATTTATATTGCCCATATGAAATACCTGTAATTTCTATTCAGACTGAATTTTCCATTGAGCGGTTAATCTCTTTCTTTTCAGTCTGTTTTCTCTGTGTCTTTCTCTTGTTGTGGGAGTAGTAGTCGAGTGACCATCAGTCGTAGACAGTTATCGAAAAGTGAAACTCTGGTTACACCATTCTGACGATGAGTCATAAATAATCTCCTTCAGCCACACTAACTGATTTCCACTCCATAGTGTGCCTGTCATTGATATTGTCCAAGCAATGAAGAGAATATATTATATTTTTGACTGTTCAGGTGTGAATATGGATGGATAAGGGGGACACTAAGATGCTATAGTAATACACCAACTAAATTCAATGGAATCACCAGGCGTCAGCGCTTTCTGTTCCATGGTATCCTAATTATATTCCTGTTTGTCGAATGAGGCTTAAAAGAAGGCTACTGCAGTGTGGACCGAGTTGTAAAAGATGACGTAACCCATTTAAATGCATTCTCGAAGTTTACCCAGCCTTCTTAGTTGGTACCACCAGTGTTGTTCGACCAGTCAATGAAGGCTGCAGAGCACGTATATACCGATAGTTGTGATCGCAAAACATGTGAACGGGTAGATGTTGACTTATTTGTAAAGTCATGAGTTTCAGATGTCGCACAATTATTATAATGCATAATTATTCCTTACCACATTATTTATTCAGATAAATTTTCATTTTTCCATTGGTTGATTGGACAGAAATATTTGGCTTCTGTTTTCATGTCGACTCCCAGAACGAATGCTTCGACGATGTTTGAGGATTAATATTAGGCAGTTTGGTGGGTGGTGACCAGCAGTGAAACCCAGGATGTGCATTAAGTCCCATTTGTGACTCGATAGGTATATATACATGTATTCCCTAGTATGATGGTGCCTTCTGAATTCCAATACTGGTCAGTAACCACCAAATTATTCCTGCCCCTGTCCAGTTTACTAGTTCACTGATTTACCAGTCGATCCTAATTCTGGAAATTGAGAGAAGACTGAGCGTGAGAAGTGAAACAGATGGAAGAACAGCTGGTTGGGGTTAAATAAATATGCTCTAAAATTCATTAAGAATATCAAAAAAGTCAAAAGCAAAATAAAAATAATGATAACGTAAATAAGAAGGAACATAAGGCATCTACAGATTAACCATATAAGGAGGGGTCATATGAGA